TGAATATAAGTAGTCCATACTTTCCGGGGGGGTAAGCTTCTTGTAGTTTTTAATTTGCCATTATCTGATTAATTTCCCTCATAAAAAATTGCACTTATCACACTCATTCATTTATTTTACGAGTACACTTTTCAGAAAGTACAACAACAAACTTCTATTTTTTACATACATAGCTTATCTTTATAAGTACCTCCATCGAATTTTTAAAAAGTATTAAAGCCTAAATGTTAAATATAATCCATGATTACATACACATATATAGGTATGTATATGTTCATAAATCCATAATTATTCCCCATAAATTTCAACTCACTTATCTCATATGCACACATGTATAACTAAATTTTCGGTAAATATTTCCTGGGTTGTGGGTTTGATACACAGTGGGATTTTTAAGGCTTAGCACAGATGGTCTCAAAATTCGAGAAAGTCGTAAAAGTACGCAGTGATCCTGAGTTTCCACTAATCTGTGGCTTCGGCTATTAGAAAAATTTTAAATTATAAAAATCTCTCAAATTGGCTCTAACCCTACTTTTCTTGTATGCCTGGCCTACAAGAATAAGCCAATCGAACCTATAGTTTTTAGACTGATAATGTTTAATTTCTCCGAAAAGAGCATACGAACTTGAAAGTTCTGCCATTAAAAATAACACCACTTTTATAATAATGTGAAAGGCGGTCTGTCAAAGACGGTGGTCGCAACTCTTCCGCATTCCATTTTTTGAATTCTTATTGATGAGAGAAGAGAGCTGCAAGCTTATAGCGGCTCCATAGTCCTAGAATCACTATAGTGTGGGAACTAGTTTGCATCAGTTCACTTTCAGTTGTGCTTTAGTTTTAGCTCGGTTGCGATAGATTTGTTGCTGGATATACTCAAAAATGCCCTCTGTGAATATTGGTACAATTAATGTAAATCCACTGATAAGGTCATAGTGTAAAGTCTATCAAACAATTTCGGTAGCCACTGTTAAATTCAATCAACTGATAAGATTTTCCCCGTTGGGACCTCTGGAGACGCCGGGCAAGAATTCAGTGTTTCAAAAATGTTCCTCACGCTCGGTTTGCTCGTGGTCGCGACGGTTCTTACCGTCGCAGTGCTGACATACAAACTTAAATTTAAACATTTGATAGATGTGACGCGCGATATACCCTCACCGCCGACATTGCCCATTATAGGACATGCGCATTACTTCCTCAATAAACCACCACATGTGCAAATCCAAAAACTGAATGAATTACTTGAGATCTATGGTAATACTATGAAAGTTTGGCTGGGTACCGAATTGAATGTAATAATGTGCGATGTTCAGGATGTGGAGGCGGTTTTGGGTTCGATGGCATTTATTGAGAAAGCGGGCGAGTATAAAAGGCTGGAACCATGGCTGAAAGAGGGACTGCTCGTCAGTGGTGGGCGCAAATGGCATAAACGCCGTAAGGCCATAACTCCGGCTTTTCATTTCAAAATCCTTGATCAGTTTATCGAAGTTTTTGAGCGAGAATCACGCGCCTTGGTCGCCAATTTAGAGTGCGAGTGTCGTTTGAAGAGCAATAATGGTTTCAATTTATACGACTGGATAAATCTCTGCACGCTGGATACGATTTGTGGTAAAGTGTTGTGTATTTATGTTCTGTGTATTAAAATAAGAGGTACTCTCAAGACCATAAACTGGTTTTTCGCTTAGCAATGGTGTAAGCTTCAGAAATGTTAGAATAGACATGATGAAGACTGTGACGCCTGAAAGGTTTTTTATAAATAACCATTGCCCCACCACTTAAGCCCGTTTGTTAAAAAAAAGCCAGACAGTGACGTTGAATTAATTTGTTTACGATTTTGTATACAAAAACTATTTTGTTTATATATTTTGATATTTTTAACGTAGAGGCGTACATAGGCGTAATTGAATAGTGTAAAATACCATATTTCTTTCCAAGACATGAGACGAGACAAATGTTATCATACATACATACTTATATACTTAATATATGTATATGTTTCAGTGTGTCTGAAACTGTGATAACACTCTGCATTCCTCAATCGATTTTGTCTCACACCGGCCAATGACATCAACCCGTGTCTCATTTTCCTGTAACAGAAATTTATTGAAAAAAGTAAAATATTTACAGGGTTTGCCCGGAAAGTAATAGGACTGAGTTAATTTAAAATAATTTATTGAACCAATCTTTACAATTCTTTAAAACTTTCGAATGCCTTCTGCATCCATGTAGCGCATCTATTTCCGCGATTTTCAAGCATTGAAGGCGTCACGGAAGGCGTTCTCCGGAATAGTCCTGAGAGCCAAGACGCATGCCGCTTGGATCCTCTCTGTCGTCTCAAAATACTTGCTTTTCATCGGTCTTTCAGGCCACGAAACAAACAAAGTCCGAAGGGGACACACCTGGGCATGCCGGCCTTAGTTAGGTAGCTGTTCACAAGTAAGTCGGTGTGAGCCGGGGCGTTGTCGTGGTGCTACGCTCAATCGGCTGCGTTTTCTTGTCGGACCCAATTGACCCTTCGTTTGAGTCTCTTGAGGACTTCCACGAAAATTTGGCTTAGACGGTTTGTACAGGAGGAACAAATCCATGGCGGACGATGCCTTTGATGTCAAAAATGACAATGAGCATCATTTTCACTTCGGATTTGCTCATTCTTTCGGTATTTATTAGCGATCTCTTCCCGGCCCTCCTAAAATGACTGGTTGTTGTTACTTACCTTTAGTGTTATTTTAAAATAATTTTTAAATTTTCACTGCCTTATTTTTTTCTTTTTATTTCCTTTTCTCTTTCAGAAACTGCTATGGGTGTATCTGTGCATGCGCAAACTAATGCTGATTCAGAATATGTGCAAGCCGTCAAAACGTAAGTTTTTAATATTTTTCTTAGCAAAAAAAAATTTTAGGTTTTTCTTATTTTGAAAACACAAATTAATTTCTAAAATTCGGAAATTCCTTTTCGAATTATAAAACACAAAATTTTTGTAAAAACAAACCTCCTGCAAGCACAGCATCTCTACCGTGATACACAAACGCATGTTCGACATTATCTATCGCTTCGATTTGACTTATCGGTTTACCAAATTGGCACGTGAAGAGAAGCGTGCCTTGTCTGTTCTGCACGGCTTTACCGAGCGTATTATCATGCAGCGGCGCGAAGAGTTGCTACGCGCACAAGAAAACACGCTTAATGCAAGTACCAACAAAAACTCCACAAACGGTTATAACGCAACGGACAATGAGGCCGATGTAGGCGCCAAACGCAAACAAGCCTTTCTCGACATCCTGCTGCACGCGGAGATCGACGGCAAGCCGCTGAGCAACTTGGATATACGCGAAGAGGTGGACACATTCATGTTCGAGGGACACGACACCACCTCATCGGCGATCACTTTCTTCTTCTACAACATTGCCACCTATCCGGAGTGTCAACGGAAGTGTTACGCGGAGATTGTCGACATTTTCGGCAAGGACACAAGCAAGCCGGTGACCTATGAAGCGTTAAATAACTTAACTTATGTGGAATTGTGCATTAAGGAGACGCTACGCTTGTTTCCTTCGGTGCCGCTGTTGGGTCGGAAAGTAACGCAGGAGTGTGAAATAAGTGCGTAGATTGTAGATTGTTTGGGTGCGTGTTGCGTATTGCTAATATTTTTTTTCGTTTCCCACTCTTTTGGAAGATGGCAAAGTTTTGCCTGCTGGCACAAATATCGGTATCTCGCCGCTATATTTGGGACGTCAGGAAAGTATTTTCCCCGATGCGAACATCTTTAAGCCGGAACGGTTCGATATTTCTAATGATGCGAAGAAAATGAATCCCTACGCGTATATTCCGTTTTCAGCTGGCCCGCGTAACTGTATCGGTCAACGTTTCGCCATGTTGGAGGTAAAGAGTGTCGTGACAAATGTGCTGCGTCATTTCGAGGTTGAATTTGTGAGTGATGGCACGGAAGGACCGATACTTATAGCTGAGCTAATACTGCGTACCAAAGATCCTTTGATGTTCCGTTTGAAACCGAGGATTTACTAAAAAATCAAGTTGGCAAAACGTTACCAATTCTACGGAAAGTATGAAGGATTGATATAATGCAACACACCGCTAGACTAACTAATAATTATACTCATCTATTTAATTATAAATCTTTATTATGAAATTTTGTTTGTATATTTCATCTCTTTTCAAATCGTATGTAGCGCTCAAAAGTACAACTGGACTCCTTTTCCTCTAAAAAATAGTTTTACCTCGTGGTTAGTTTATTTTTCGTTGGAACTATTAATGTTTTAGGTTAGCAGGTTTCTAAATTTGCTGAAAAAGTTTTTCATGGAGTTAGCTAATTTTTTTTTTGACCTTCGGAATACAATCGCAGCACTTAATTCTTTTCCTTATTTTACTTACAAGTTCATGGGTTCCGATGCTCTTCTTGTTCCCAATTATTTAACCAATTATTTGACCTTCAGTCCAGATCGCTCAATCAACCGAGTTCTTTTCATCTATATGGCTTTGCAGGCAGTCATATCTAAACTATCCTATATTCACTTTTATTCGAAATGTTTTTCTTTTGATTATTTTCCATAGCATTTTTTGTTCCTTCCATAATTTTCTGCATTTCTAGATTTCTTTTTTGTCAGAATCTCCTCCATTTGAAGAAGAAGGGCCACTCTTAGGACTTTCTTGAGGGTTCCAACCCAGAGCTTGTCGGCAAACTTCTGTAACAGCTTTTCGCGGTGTGAAATCTATCTACAGAGTTTGTCCGGAAAGTAATAGGACTGATTTTGTTCCGTCGCGACTGTACTTCGGAGTGTGCGTGCACCGACTGGATTCGGTAGAGGATGTTCCTAGCTAACGAACGAGCGGCTGGTCAGTCGTCTCCGACGAATCATGGATCTTGAGTGTGATCCCGAGACAAAGAGGCAATCTTACGAGTGGCACACGCAATTCCATAGTGAAAACGATGCTCATTATCTTTTTTGACATCAAAGGCATCGTCCACCATAAATTTGCTCCTCCTGGACAAACCGTTAACGCCAAGTTTTTCGTGGAAGTCCTCAAGAGACTCAAACGAACCGTCAATCGGGTCCGACAAGAAATCGCAGCTGATTAGAAATTGCACCACGACACCGCTTTTCTTGTGAACACCTACCTAACAAAGGCCGGTATCCCAACACTTCTGCAGTCCAGATGTGGCCGCCCGGACTTTTTTTGTTTCCTTGCTTGAAAATATCGATGAAAGGCAAGAATTTCGAGACGACAGAGGGGATCCAAGTAGCATGCACCTCGACTGTCAAGGCTTCTTCGATGCTTGGAAATCGCACTGGCAGCGCTGTATCGACGCGGAACGAGCATATTTTGAAAGTTTTAAAATAATTGTAACGATTTTTTTAGTAGTAGTTCTTAGTTCATTTCTTAGTTCCTAGCATCATTTCATGGTTTCTTGTGAATTGCGAATTTCGGGTTTCCCCAACTTGACGTCTATTTTGCGTAAAGTTTTTCTACTCACAAGCAAGCTAATAATTTCTTCCCATCTAAACAAGTTTTCAAAGCTAAGCAGTAAATAATTTGAATATTAAATAGAGACTTCAGCCAAAGTCGAACCTGACTTACAGAACTATACAAACGCATCTCTTGCTTGCTACATATGTGCGACAGTTTGTATGCCTATAAGCGTAAAGTTTTGTTTTAGTAAAAACTGTGAAGTTGTGTGAAAACTGTGTTAATTAAATTTGGCTTTTATTTATATTGTATTACCTTTAAAGCAATCACAATGATTTTGGAAAAGCCTGTTTTGCCTCGCAAGCTAAATGCATTGCCCCTGTCGGACAGGCTACACGCCAATTGGCAATATTCTTTTGATTGTCCAGGTCAGGCAAACAAACAGAGCCTGTCAATCTTTCATATAGTATTTTTCCATTGAAGCTTTGGACTGTTAAATAAGTGCTTATGCTCTGTCAGATACTCATATGCCAAGCGTTAACCCGAATAAAGTTCGTCGACCCACATAATACTAAGCCTACATATACATATGTATACTTGCACATATGATGGATTTTTTATTTAAATTAAGTTTAATAACATTTATTAGTTCGTAATCGTTCCATATCGATCAAGTTCAATGTTTATGTGTCAGTGTGTATGCTTGTGTGTATGTAGGTCGAGGAAGTCAGCTAACCAGTATAAATGCCTCTGCGCGCGCGCCTTTCGTAGCCAGTGACTTCTAACCATTCGAAGCGTGTGTATGTGGGGTGCGCGTAACTTACGCAAACCCAAACGTGAAAGCACGAACTGTGTTTACTTTTAATAAAAAAAATATTTAAAATTTTTCGTAAATTAAAAAACTGTGATGTTTTCGGTTCCCCTGATACTCGTGTTCAGTTCGCTTGTCGCATTGCTCACCTATTGCTACGCCAAGTACGCTCGTCTGTACGTCTTAGCCAGCCGTTTTAGCGGTCCACCGGCATTGCCCATCATTGGCAATGCGCTAACCTTCCTCAACATCGAAGCGCATGAGTTTGTAAGTCGCTGCTTAGAATTGGGTGATAAATATGGCAAGACGTTTCGTTTGTGGCTGGGTCCGCAGTTGAATATAATCGTACACGATCCGCACGATGTCGAAGTTTTGCTCAGCTCAAATAAGCTGGCGGTAAAAGCGGATCAATATCGTTATATGAAATGCTGGATGCACGACGGTCTGCTGCTGTCGCGTGGTCGTAAATATCAACAGCGTCGTAAACTCGTGTCCCCGACATTTCACTACAAGATGCTGGACAATTTTCTCAGTTGCTTTCAGGAGCATTCCTTGGAGTTGGTGCAGCAAATGAGGGGACTATGCATGGACGGTTCACCCTTTGAGTTGCGTCACTTTTTGGGCCTGTGCATGTTGGATACGATTTGCGGTGGGTTTTTAGCTGTGTGGCGGGTTTTGCGTAAATGATTGAATGTACTTCTTTCATAACTATAATTCCAGATACGGCGATGGGTGTGCAGCTACAGACGCAACGTAATGCCAATTCAGAATACGTGAAGGCCTTAAACAGGTAAAGCAAACTCGACAAGAGCTTATTAAGATTTAGTTCAAGTGTACAATGAAACTTTACTTGCGGGTTGTGTGAAAAGGGTATGTATGTTTGAAAGGAAAGACCAGACGATTTCCAAAATGGCACAGTAAAGTCAAGCGTGCAACGAAGCCGATGGTTGAATTCGGGGTTTCGGGACTTGCACAACAAAGCTAAATTTTCATCAAAAACATTATTTTTGAATTCGGGATTTTCAAGACTAAATTAAATTTTCTTCGAAAACTTTATTTTTATACAAAAACAGCTTAATTCTACCAAACATGCGAAATCCCGTGCCGATTGTGAATTCGGGATTTTCACAACTAAATAAAATGTTCATCAAAAAGATAATTTTTATGCAAAAACACAATTTCAATTCGGAATTATTAC